TCCTCAGGTTTCCTCTCCTGGGAAAGGGGACACTCATTCCTACCTCAAGACTTTTCAGAATAAAATGAAATAATAGGAACTTTATGCAACTGAGCACGTGCGTTGTGGTTGCTGGCCCTCAAGTTCTTTTCAAGTCATAACACTGTGTGCCATATTCTATGTTTTCAAAAACTTCTGGACCCCATTTCTCTGTTTTATCCTCGATTGTAAAGGGAAAGGGAGGGCGGAGGGGGACATGGTCCCCAGGTGGTGGGTGCAGGACCCAGGCAGAGGCCAGGGTGTGCCCTAGTGTCAGGCAGGGAGCCCACCGACCCTGCTTGCCCACGATCAGGGCTCCTTGGCCAGGCAGACCCGTGCACGCTGCCCATCCATAGAGCCCGTTCCCACCCGACCCCGTGGCAAGGAAGGACCCAGCACCTAGAGGAGGTCACACCCGGCCCCGGCTCCCCGCTTGCCAGGGGCCTGGTGGCCTCGTTGGAGCCCCAGGCTCTGGGACATCCTCCCCCAGGTCCCAGCATCTCACTTCCATCTTCCTCTCCCACCCTTGTCCCCGAGCTCCAGGGGACCAGGTCCCAGCAGACCCAGGGCAGGGGTGCAGGCAGGGCTGGGTGTCAGGCAGCCCAAGGCTGCCTCAGGCGGTGAGAACCAAGTTTCGTGAGCAAGGGGCAGAGATGGGGTACCCTGCGGGGGTGACCTGTGGTGGCCACGGGAAGGATGGACACGGAGTCCCCGGCACCCCTGGCACGTTCAGATGTTTGAACTGAGGATCCGGCAGGCGGGCCCGAGGCTCCCAGCTTTTGCAAATGCTGCACACCCTGGCTTCGCTCTGGGTCAGGTAGTCAGTGGGCATTCAGTCGGGCTCCCCCGCCTTCTGCAGGACTGATGGACTCGCCCCAGTGCTGGGAACAGGGAGGGTGTAAGGCCCTCTCCAGGTGACCCTTCCCAGGGCAGCCCATGCCCTTGAATGGGAAGCAGGGACTAAGGTCCCAAGGGCAGCCTGTCCTCAGAGGGTGGCCAGAGCTTCCTGGTGTTCGAGGGCTGCTCCCGCCCTCCCTCCCAGTCTGGTCCCAGCACTCTGGCCCTCCGACCCCCCCGCCAGTCTCTGCCTCAGGAGTCTGCCCCTGCCAGCCCCACTGGCCACACTATGCGTGTGCAGGGCTCTCTGACTCGGTTGTCTGTCTAGTGACTATAAGCAGCTGTGACAATTGTTTTCCTGTTGCTCCTCCAGTGACAGATTCTTTTCTTTTATATTTAACTAGAGGCCCAATGCACGACATTCGTGCACTCAGGGCGAGGGGGTCCCTCAGCCCAGCCTGTGCCCTTTTGCAGTCTGGGAGCCCTCGGGGGATATCCAACTGATAGCTTAGGCCTGCTCTCCATGGGGAGCGGGCCTAAGTTGGCAGTAGGACATCCTTAGCATTGCCATGGAGGCAGGAAAGGCTCCCACCACCACCACTGCGCTCACCAGCTGTCAGCCCAGCTTCTGGCTGAGCAGCACTCCCTCTGTGGGAGCACACTGACCACCAAGGGGCAGCTCCTGATTTGGGCACCTGCCCCCTGGTGGTCAGTGCACATCATAGCGACCAGTTGTTCCCCCATTCAGTCGATGTGCATATTACTCTTTTATTATATAGGACTAGTGGCCCAGTGCACAAAATTTGTGCACGGAGGGGGGGTTCCCTCAGCCCAGTCTGCAACCTCTCCAATTGGAGACATCCCTCTCGCAATCTGGGACCACTGGCTCCTAACCACTCACCTGCCTGCCTGCCTGATTGCCCCCAACTGCCCTCTCCTGCCGGCCCGATCTTGCCCCCAACTGCCCTCCTCTGTCGGCCAATTTGGTTCTGATTGGCCGGTTTCTATCTCTGCCTGCCTGATCGCCCCTAACTGCCCTCCCCTGCAGGTACAATGGGTACCTGGGGGAAATGTGTGCTATTACTGGCTAGTGGGTCAAGGGTTAAATGGTTGAGGGGGAGATCAGGCTGGCAGGGAGAGCATTTGAGGTCTGCCCCTTGTCCTGCTGGTGTTCCTGGCCTCTGGTGAGGGCAGGGAGAGGGGAAGAGCCAGTCAGAGTTAAAAGCTCTGCCTCCTAGGCAGCCATTGGGTCCTCACAGTTCACACAGATTTGGTTCTGATTGGTCGGTTTCTATGCCAGTCAGTGTCAAAAGCTCCGCCTCCTCGGCAGCCATTGGCTCCTCACAGTTCACCCAGATTTTGTTCTAATTGGTCAGTTTCTATGCAGTCAGCATCTCTGGGCCTATCAATGGGGCCTGATCAGAAAGGCGGGGCTGATCAGCAGCCCCAGTGGATGCCTTGAGAGAAATGGAGGCGCAGCTCCTGGCCTTGCCGGGAGAGAAAGGGAGAGGCAAGTGCTGATCAACAGCTGCCACACAGGCTACATATCAGACCCTGCTTCTCTCTTCAGGCCTCTCTCCAGGCCTGATTCGCAGCCCCATCAGCAGTCAGTGCTGGGTCGCTATGGCAACCCAGGCTGATTGCAGGACTGACTTCTGGTTGGTTGAGCCTTTGGTTATGATTGACCCAGGGTTTTTATATATTAGGACTAGGGGCCCGGTGAAAAAAATGAAGATG